CAAAATATGATTACCCTATATATATGGTTTTGGAACTAGCACTTGTTAATGATTTTTGACCTTTTTAAATTATATTTTATTGATTATGCTATTACAGTTGTCCCAATTTTTCCCCCTCTTCCCCCCTGCACACTGCACCCCCCACTCTCTCAGGCAATCCTCACACCATTGTTCGTGTCCATGGGTCATGTGTGTTAGTTCTTTGGCTACTCCATTTCCTATACTGTACTTTACATCCCTTGGCTATTCTGCAACTACCAATTTCTTCTGTCTCTGTTCTTCTTGGGTTGATGGAGTCTCAGATATGGCATCTATCTGCCTGCCAGCTCCGTGGCCTTGCCTGCTTTTGTCTGGGAGAAAGCTGTCCCTCAGCTCTGGCCTTGATGCCAGACACTTCAGTTCCTCCCTGTATGCCGCTGATGACTTTCAAGATGCTATCCCAGTGCTGGAGCTCAGATGGAGTGAGTCTGAGTAACTTTGTGTGTGGATTCTTTAAGAGAAACTGTTTGAGACTCCAGAAGTTTCTTTCACTGACTCAATCCCTGATAGTTTTTGCAGCCAGAAGTTATGGGGACTTATCTTCCTGGCACTGGCACCCTGGGCTGGGGGGCCTGGTGTGGGGCTAGGACTCTGTGCTCCCAAGACTGCCCTCCTGAATTTTCATCCATCACATGCGTGTGTGGGACCAGTCTGTTCCACATCTCTGCCTCTCTTACAAGTCTGGGTGGATGTGGTTTCTTTAATTCAATAGTTGTCAGACTTCCATTCAACTGATTTCTGCCAGTTCTGAGTAATGGTTGTTCTATAACTTAGTTGTAATTTTGATGTGGTTGTGTGAGGAGGTGAGCCATGGTTACCTATGCGGCCATCTTGACTGGAACTCTTGATCTTTCCATCTTAGTAACTTTGCACTTCATCTAATCCCATCCATGTTAAAAATTTTCCAATTGACCCCAATTATGTTTTATAGCAAGTTGTTTAAACCAATATGAAATTCAGGCCCATGCATTATGTTGTTATTATATACCTTAAGTATCTCTAATCTAGTAGTTTTGACTTAAAAAAAATCATACTGACCTGCTGAAGATAGCTGGCCAGGTGCCCTACAGAATGCCTCACCATCTGGATTTGTCTAGTTGCTTTCTCCTAGTGTCCTTTAGTTTGTTCTCTATCCCTAGTATTTTCCTGTAAACTGCAAGTTACACCTAATAATTCTTTTAGGGTGGGGGGAGTAGCTAGAATATATACTAGGTTGGGTTAGGTATTTACCTCACACCAGAATTGGTCTACTGGTTAGTGATACTAAGACCCATTCCAGAAAACAAATGTGACATGCTGAACCCTCCAACACAGTTACATTTCTGGTCTCAGGACTAAACTGATAGGGTTACTTGGCACTATTGAATGTTCAGTTGTCCACCAGTCATTTCACCTACCATTTTAACATCAATTAATGATCTTTGCCAGATCAATAATTTTGTTAAGTTCACAAAATGCTGCTTGTCAAATTATATCATTATTTTTATATTTATTAGCTGGCATTCTCCCCTCAACTAGGGTTCAAATTCATTTTATAAAAAATAACTGTCGGTGTGCCAAACTCAAATGCACTTGGGGGCAGGATTTAGCCTATGAGCCTCCACTCTCTGATCTACAATCTAAGCCAAACAAAATCTCACCCATCACCTGTACCCTGCAGTATTAGGTCTTTTGTTTGTAACACTCAATTATTTTGCACTAGTCGACATGTTGCTTGTAATCTTCTGAAGGCATTTTATGTATTTGTCTCCCTGGCTAGACTGTGACCTTCTCAAAGGCAGGGACTGTCCTGCAATATATTTCCTTTGCTTCTCCTAACGTGCTTTTAAAGTTACTTTGGCTACTGCTAATTCTAATTAACAACAGCAAAAAGCTCTAGTAAGAACCAAATGTTTTCCTTATTGTTTCTTGTGTTCCCTGGCCTTTCCACTAAAACTTTCCCTAAATATCTATCATAATGAAGTGCTTATCACATGCTCACCTTTGCTGTGGGAATACCTGTGAGAGTGGGAGGAAAGAGGGAAAATAAGCTCTTTATTGGTCTTCAAGGGTTATCACTGAGTTTCTAGTTCTTCATTCAGTAAAATGAGGTGACTGGGTTATCTCTAAAATCACACCTGGCTTGGCTCTAAGTCCCTAGGGTACATACATAAGCAGTACCTTTTAGTGTATTCCTTCCAACCCATTGCTCCCTGCTTGGATAGTATCTTGACTCCCTTCACAGTCAGCAGTATACTTTCTAAGCTTAGGTGACATAATACCCACAGGGACGGAATTTGCCCCTGATGATGCTCCTACCATCACAGACTGGTCTAATCCACACATCCCAGTAAGTTTGCTCATATTTCCAAGGTCAAACATCAGTTGTTTACAACTAGAGCCACGCGTGGCTATTTCAAGGGTCCTATACAAGCAATTGTCTCAGCAGAGGCCCAGTCTTGGGTCTTCTTGCTGCGAGGGAGGAGAGAATGCAAAGGGCTGAAACTGGTTGAACCCTTGTCCTTGTTGTGGAGCCTCACCATTAGGGCTCTGAATGACCCCAGGCCAGCTCTGAGGTATAGGTCTTTCTAAAAAATAAAATGAAATAAAAATCCTTTAGCTCGCTTGTTTTTCCAAATGCTTTTATTTCAGTTCTATTAGTCTCCTTTCCCTTTTTAATCCCTTCTGTAAAGGTACAGTCTCAAGGACCTCATCCAACTGGCTTTATGTGCCTGGAATTAGCACTTTCCCTAGAAATAAATCAGACAAAGACAAATACCATATGATTTCACTTATACATGGAATCTAAATGAAATAAATGAACAAACTAAATAGAAACAAACTGTCCTCCTCCTTGGCTGAGGACAGTCTCCACCCTGATTATGAATAGAGTCTTACCATTTCCTGGCTTTGAGAGCTCCAGGTAAGGAAAGGGGAAACAGAGGTCTTAGAAGTAAGGCAGAGAGAGACCCATCACCAGCCTTATTTTTTAAAAAAACTTAAAAAAAAAAAAAAAAGAATCCTCACTCGAGGACATGTTTTTTGATTTGAGAGCTCTGGGGGGCGGGGGGGCGGGAGAGAAAAGAGGAGAGTGGAGAGAAACGATTGGTTGCCTCCTATATGCACCCCAACTGGGAATCCAACCTGCAACCTGGGTATGTGCCCTGACTGGGAACCAGACCTGCAACTTTTAGTGTACTAGATGATGGTTCAATCAATTGAGCCACCAAGCCAGGGCCCAGCCTTATTCTTGATAAACCACATTTAGGCCTGCAACAAACGGGACTAGCCAGAGCAAGTAGCCAAAGTCCTCTATGAAAGCCTAACCCCTGTCCTGTGACTCTAGCCTAAAAAAGACTCAAAATGAATCCATAATTCTTCCATTTTTTCCTCTTCCCCACCTCAGGCCTAGTGGCTGTTGATGAAAATCAGGTGGCAAGTTGCCAAACATGACCTACCTGTTGCTGTATCCTTGGCAGCACCCTATGAATCTTACACTATCAACTGAAAATATTAAATAGAACTATTAAGGATGAGCAATCTCCCAGTGAGTAAGAAGAGCCTGCCAGTGATGTGTGGTGCCAGGGCTGCAATTCTGCCACGGCCTGCCTTCCCCGGGCCTGTCTGTCCTCATCAGATGTTAGCACTGTTTCTCCCCCGGAAAGAAAGTAGCCATAGTGGCAAGAACAGTCTTGGTGAGCATAGACCAAGAAAAGCGTTAGCCAGTCAGCAGCAGATTGAGGTAAAAATCAGAGTAAGAAGCAAAGGGTCAGAATGACAGAGTAGGCAAGACCCCAAGAGTAAAGAAAATGCTGAAGGGATGGATATAAAGCTACACATGCTTCTCTGGATCTCCCAGGCCTGGAGTACCCTACTGAGAAAATTTCCCAGTCACAGAGTCTTTGTATTCACTTATTTAATAATAATAATAGTTACAAGTAATTCTGGCTGTAGAACAAGTAGTCTATTATCAACACATTTATTCCTCCAAAGAAGTACATTTGCCCCTCTGGTATGAATCTGAACTCTTCTTACTCTCTCATATTCTTATTGAGGCATCTTCAATTCCCAGGTTGGCTGGCATAGTCATCCTAGAATAGCCTCTAAATATGTAATTTTTCTTTTTTTAGAGAGAGAGAAACATTGATTTTGTTGTTCGACTTATTTATGTATTCACTACCTGCAACCTTGGTGTATCAGGATGATGCTCTAACCAACTGAGCCACGCAGCCAGGGCTTAAATGTGGAATTTCTATTCTCAGGAGTCATCATTTCCACTATGACATTCTAAGTGACAGAGAATGAAGACTAAGGATCCAAGATTAATTATCAGATTAATTTGCCTAAAACCAATTTACCTAGAGACAATTAGTCTAAAATAAATATTTATCAAATCTGCAGCATTTTCAAAAGGATTTAGCAGACTCACCCTTTCACTTTGTATTGCCGTCAACTGTATAACCTTGAATTGTTAGTCAGCTGAATATGCCACATGCCTGTTCATTTATTGAGAATACATTGGCATTTTAACAACATGGATATAGAAGTTAGACCAAAGCATAAAGTCGTATCGAGCTTTGTTACATTTTTCACTGCATCTAATTTGTAAAGGAATATTGGATTAAGAAACACAAAAAAATGATACACAAAATGTCTGTACCAATTATATTTATTGCTAGAAACTTTAAGCTCTTTAAAAAAGTGTTTGAAAAGTAGATAACATAGAGACAGATACCCATAAAGGTAGGAGGAAGCAATCTCATCATTTACATATTGCTGCAAATTTGATAAATTGATGCTGCTGATAATTCAGAACTCTTGGATGAAGAGATATAAATCCTTGTAATACTCAAAGCATGACAAAAAAGAATAGAACACCTAAATGGCTAAGGGAAAAAGAAAACAAACCCAAAAGGGATTTGAACTTTTGGCAAAAGTGGCTGGAACTTTAAACACACAGGTTTTCAATGAACTCTAGCTTTAGGTGAACCAATTTCAGCCAAAATGACTAGAAACAAATCGAAGTGTTTTGCCCCTCTAGCTCCCTAGAACCTCAGAGTTTGGGAGTTGCAGTAGGTGTACTCCTGGATCCCTCTGAAAGGTGGCAGCTCTGGAGTAGTGAGCTACTGCTAGGCAACCAAGTGTAAGAGTGACCTGAGAAGAAGGGAAGTGAGTATGTGTGTGTGAGAACATACCCATGGGTGCATATACTGGAGGGGAGGGCTCAGTGCACTTACACCTGGGGAACGTGGATAGCCTGAGGCTTCCTAAACATCGCCCCCAGCAACCTCACACCCAGAGACCCACTCATTACCTCCTCCCCCAGCTGAGGAGAAAAGGAACAAAGAACAGGCACCCCAGGCCCACATGAGTCCCTGAGAAACAGGCAATACAAGCAGCAGGCCCACCTGGAGCTGGTCTCCACTCCTAACAGAGAGGTGAGCAGCTTAGTCCTTAGAGAGGTGGCCAAGAAATAACTCATTAACAAGGTCCACCTCTTTATCTAGATACAGAAATAAGATACTGTGGTGTGGTAAGAACCTGGCTGACCCCATATCTGGCCTCATGTGTGGGGCACAAAAGAGTCAGGAGCTCCCATGATGTCCTCTCTTTCTATAATCCAGGAACAGAACATCGCATCATTTATGCACAGACATATACTGGAGATCAGACTAGAATCAGACCTTTAGAGTATACTGGAACCTGCCTGTGTGTGCCTAAGTATATGGTACAGCATAGGTTGCACATGTGGAAAGGCCAGTCACTCCATCGTGGTAACTGGAAGGTTCCTCTTCCACAATCCATTTGGAATGTCATGATCTTTGGGTCTCTGGCCCTTGGGGCCCTCCCCAAAGGACTCTTCTGCCAGGCCTGCAAAGTACATCCTTTGCCTCACATGAGGCACTGGCAGAGGAATTTGTCAACGGTGGTGATGGCAGCAGCAGTTACTACAGCTTAGATATAGTTGGCAGGGAGCTGTCGAGCATTGAGCCGCTGCATGTGACAGCTGTGGCAGAGCAAGTGCCCGTCCAGAGGGAAGCAGCAGCAGCCTTCCTCATCACTCAGCTGCATCCGGCAGTCCTAGGGAAAGACGACACCTAGTTGACCTCAGTCCAGGCACCTTGGACATTGGAAGTCTGCCATGCTCAACACCAGACTTCTAATGTCTGGAAGAAAAAGGATGGTTGGGAACTGACCGCCTCCCAGAAGAGAAATCAGGGAAAAATACCTCAGCTGGACACCAGGTGTCACTGCTATAGCAGAAATAATGAGATAGGCTCCACTTCCAGTGGATACCAGGAGGCCCTATAGTTTTAGGAGTCTTGACTCTGGGGAAGCCAGATTCAGAGAAGACTAAACTACTAGGACTGGAGAGACTGGCTTGAGGAAGAGAAAGAGATTGGAGATAGGTCAGAGCACCTTCCTAGCGTTCCATGCTCTATATTCTCCTACAGTCAAGTTCTAGGACTTGACTCTTCCCTGGGCCCCATACCAATTCTCCTCCAGGAGCCCTGGCCCCCAACACTCACCTCACAGTGGTAGCACTCAAAGTGATAATCTCGGTCCATGGATATCACCCTCACAATGTCCTCACAGCCCTGAAATAATGCAGACCTCCATGGGGATGAGAGCAGTATAACAACCCCACCTCTACCCTCCCGTGTACAGGCCCCCTCCCACCCCAAGTGGAACACCATAAAAAGGCCTCCAGAGCCTCTCTGCAATCATCTGTAGCTTTCAGATGGCATTTGCAAATCCTCCTGGAATTTCCCCCTCCCTTTCCTTGGCTTCAGGGCCTTGGCCTTACCTACCTCTCCCAGCTGTAGGGGAAGTAAAAGGAAGGGAAAAGGGTAGGCTAAGCCAGGGACAAGGAGATCCAATAGGGTTTGGTTCCTCATTGGCTTTGGCTAAGCACACCCTTAACACACACAGCATAATTTCTAACCCCTTCGTACCAGCACTGAGGATTCTTCCCACCTTTTTTCAGTCCCTACATCCCATCCAGGATCTGGTGACCTTGACCTCACAGAAAGTCTCTTCCTTTGGACTGGGAGAGAAGAGACAGAGCTTGGGCCCAGTGAGGCTGTCAGACATGTCCAGGCACGGATGTTAGGGTCAGGATGGTGACCCTGGGAGCAGAGTCACACGGGAATCTTCACAGAGTACATTCCTCAGCACCACTGTATCCCGTGGGAGGCCAGGCAGCATGTCCCCATCCCTTCCCCAGAGGCAGCAGCACTGGCCGCCCTGCAGGAGAACCCAGACATACTGACCTCTGAGGGGAGGATGGGCTGGCCACAGGCCGCACATTTAGGAGCATAATTTCTGAAAGAGAGGGCAGAGATGAGCTAAGATTCAGAAATCCCTGAGCCCAGTTCCACACCATACCCCAAGGCATGGACTCACTTGTGGTAGTCGGTGACACAGTACACCTGGTTGGAGAAGTCTACTGTGAAGGGGATGCCATCCAAGCACTTGTTGCACACAATGCATCGGAAGCAGCCTGGGTGATAGGACTTCCCCATTGCCTGCAGGATCTGGCTCATGGAGTGGGAAGAGGATCAGTCTCCCTCCAGCCGCAGCTCTCCAGCTACCCATGATGTTCCCTGTTGCTCCCACGAAACTCACCCAACCCCTTGCTATCCTCCCAGAACAATGCTATGAAATTTGAGGGAACCAAGGAACTTTAAAGTGGAGACGGAAACCCGTAAAAAATTTTGGAGAGGACACAGGCTAGTGGGTCTCAGCCCTGGCTGCATAATGGGATCATTCAGGGAGCTTTGAAAGACCACCAAAGCCTGGATCCCACCCCAGAAGTATTATCAGTGCATTCATCAGTCTCTGCTGATGACCCAGGCAATGGTATTTTTCTTTATTTCTTCTCAGGTGATCTGCTAGGCTGCAGGGCTGAGAACCACTGGTCCAATTCAATCGCTCTTTCATACAGAAAAGAAAACTGAGTTCCAACTGATCCTAGCCAGGAGCAGACAGGGGATTAAGATCCAGAACCCCATATTCCTAGCTCAGCTGGAGGGCCAGACTGTGCCTGCAGATTTAGGGAGGGGCCAGATCACACAGGTCTAGGGATGGCAGGATTAGGTGTCCAGACTTGATCTCAGGCAGAGGGAAGCCACTGTAAACAGTTGCTCTGGGGAGGAATGGATGAAAGTGATTCATCTGGTGATAGGTGTCACCCTCCCCCCCAGTACTCCTTTAGTCCCTGATTCTACCCCTCAGCCTCAAAGAGTTTCTGCTGAAGATGTTTTGCTTACCTTTTCCAAAATCAAATGACCACAAACACAGCATTTCTCAGCTGCTTCCTGAAACCCTGAAAACTAGAGGCCAAGGGAAGATGTTACAAGCTGAGAATGACCTGATGGGTAGAACCCCAATGGGCTACAAAGACGGGGGTGCCAGTATGGGAGCCAATTCTAAGCCCAGGGGAATCCCTCTCACTCACCAGATAATCTTCCTCACAGTACACAGAGCCGTTGACACTGTAGAAAGCCTTGCAGCGCAAAGTTCGCCCTAGAAGCAGCACAGAAGGGGCTGGAGCCTATCTTGGTATCCAGGAACAGGGCTTCCCCACCCAGTGCTTGCCAATGTTGTGTGATGTGTTTAAATCCTCCTAACTGCTCTCTGTCCTCCCTCTCCACACAAAAAACCCCATATGATGCAATTCCAATTTGCTTTAGCCTCATTTTTGCCAACCTCTCCACTCTTCTGCTCACTGCTCCTTCAGCTCCTGCTTTCCCCTCCAGTGCCTGGTGCATAGGGAGCTACTAGGGAAAGCAAAGCCAACCACAGGCTGAGTATATGATTAAAGGAGCTCTGAACAAGGTGGTGTACAATGTGCAGAGAGATGATCACAATCACACTGTCACAGGCCTTGCCCTCTGGGACCTTTTAAACTAGGAGCAGAGTCTCTTTGCTTGAGCATAGCTACCCTGCTTTCCAAGCCTGGTCTGTCTCCAGGGATAGGCTCTAAGGAGGTCGGGACTTATTGGAGTTACTGCTGAGGACAAAGTGCTGTGCATGGGAGCAAAGCTGGTTGCCTTTCCTGCTGCACTAGGCTGCTTCCCCAAGCCAAGCGTCCCCAGGGTCAGAGGCAGCTCAGGATCTTGTATGAACAGACAAGGCAGGGCCATTTCCCAGATAACCAACACCTAGGGACTACTCCAGGGCACCTAAATTGTCAGGAATGGGGTGAGAGTAGGGTGGAGAATGGGCATTTTCCCCGCCTCTGCCCTCTTCTCATTAAAATCTCCACTTCCAGCTCTGCCCAGTGGTTTAGAAAAGCTGACTCAGAGACTTATAAGATTCAGGGGAGTAGAGAGGGAAAGAGACACCTGGAAGAAGCCCTATAAACAGAAGGACAGACAGACAGATGAACCTTAAAAGAACCAGGCAGAGGCTGGAGGATGGGGGGGGGGGCGGTGAGAGAAAAGCTGAGTGCTGGAGTCAGACAGGCAGAGATAGGAGATTAAGGGTTTAGCAAAGGAATCAGAGTGGGTAAGCAGTGGGGAGAGGTAATGAGGGACGTGAGGGAAGGGCTGGGGTGTTAAGGCCACTGGGAGCAGGTCCCCTCCCCCTGCCTTGGGCCTCCTGAGCTAACAGCGGGCATTCCTGGAGCGTGATGTCATCAGCTTGGCATGGCCCGGTGGCCTGCACTCTAGCGAGGTGGCTGAACTCTGACCAGCCAAGAGAAAACCCCCCTCGCTGCCCTGCACAGTCCCCCACTCCCCCAGCCCACCCCCGCCCTTCCCACATTCCAATCTTTCACTGTCGCCCCAGGCAACTGGGCTGCCCAAGACCAAACCCCACCAAGGAGAGGTGGGAGTCCAGACTGGGCAAGTAGGGAGGAAGAAGAGGAAGGAACAGAGGGGAGGAAAGAGGCTGAACAGAGGGAAGGCTGATTCCAGAAAGCACACCCAAAACGGCGGGGGGGCGGGGGGGAGCCAGGTAGAGACAGAGAAGGGAAGCAAGAGAGAAGGCGGGGCAGCAGTGGACGTCCAGCCACATGGTGGGGACAGCTGCCCTGTGAGCAAATGAAGAGGCACAAGTTCTGCTCCTGCTTCCCTAGGCACTTGTGATAGTGTATGTATGTGGGGGTGCCTAAGGCCTCGGGTCCTGGTCCAGGTCTGGGGGCAGCACTCACCACAGGAGCAGCAGACAAAGCACTGGGTGTGGTAGAGGCTGTCCAGGGCCTGGCAGGCGTTGCTTTGCCCATAGATGCCTTTGTTGCACTTGATACAGGTGCCTGAGGGGAGAGATGTTGTCAGCATCACACCTCACTCCCCCTGCTCAAAACCAGGGATTCCTGCTCTTTCCTGATTATGCCAGAGGACCACCAATCAGAGCCTCCCTTTGATGGGCTCCCTTCTGGGAAAAGAGGATAATGAGAAATGGAATGCAGGAAGGTCTTGGCTGAGCAGATCCATTCTTATTCATTGATTAATCAACAGATATTTTCTAAGCATCTATTTTGTGCCTAGCAAAAGTACTGCACTCAACACTGGAAAACTGGAGAAAAGTCAAAGATAATGGTCCTAGTCCTTCAAATGCTACTTCTATTGGGGAGAAAAGTAGGCAAAGTATAATCCCTGTTGCACTACCTGGGATAAAAAGTCAAGAGATGCCAGTCCATACAGGCCCAAAAGCAGACTAAAAAAAAAAAAACCCCAACAAAAAACAAAAAAAACTCTAGAGAAAGCAGGCCAGGCCCAAAAGCCTCTCTGAGACCTGTTTCCCCCTGTGTAAAATGAGCTGGTATTCAGCTACAGAATGATTTCTCACTGCTCTGTACCTTCAGGCTTCCAAGAATGGAAAAAGAAGGATTTGGCTCAGCAGTGGGCCCTATGCAGAGGGGACCATGTGAGCATGACTCCTGTAGGGAGTTGGCTGCTGAGAATGCAGGGTGTGTTCCCAGGAGGGCTGCACAGAAGAGGGGGAAGGGTGGCAGAACCCCTCATGTCTCCCTGTCACCTTCTATCATGGGAGAGACAGAGCTGAACTGCTTTTCCCCCAACATCCCCCGTAAAATACGTACATCTGGCTCTGGCACTCGCCTTTCCTGGGTGTGTTCTTCCCTCCCTCCACTCCCCAATTCCAGGTCCATGAGTGAAGGTGAGGGCCTGTCTTCGGGGAGCAGATCCCAACGGGCCTGCCTCACCCCGCCCCACCTCTCCTCCTCGGCACCCTGCCACACTCCTTGCCTGTTGGGGCCCATCCCAGTCTTTGCCCAGGGGCTTGGGAGCCCGTGCAGCAGCTGCAGCAACTGATGGGCCCAGGCCTGTCCTGCTCCCGCCCTCTGGCAGCTGGGCAAAGCTGTAGCCAAGGAAGAGGGCCCCTACCAAGGGCAGGAGTAGGAGGACACAGGCTGGGGGTTCTGTCAGAGGAGGCAACCTGATCCACAGGGAGAAGAGGCCCCTCACTCTGGGGTCAAAATGTGGCCTTCCCATGGGAGAGAAGCTCTGCCCCAAGACTGCCATGTCAGGGGGCACAGTCAAAACCATTTCTTTGCGAAGACTTGGATATTATGGGAAGGCAAGAGCAAATTGCTCAGGCATGTCTGCCTCACTTCCTCTAACCCAGGATATCCACACCTAGGTTCTTCCTGCCATTTTATCGCACCCTCTCTGAGCTCATTTTTCTTTTTGGCTCTGATGGCTTAGCCAAAGAAACTTCTTTCCACCAAACCACCATTATTCCTGGGACTAAAAAGGACACTGTTACACAGTCTCCCTTGACCAAAGCTTCATCTGCTTGGGGCTTTCCTCTCTAGGGTGGAGGGAAAACGATGGAAGGAATTGGGTTGAACAAGGCAAGCCCCTTCTGCCTGCAGCCCCCTGCTCTCTCTATATCTTCTCCCCAACAGTCCTTCCCTGACTGGGTTCTCCCTATTCACATTTCTACACATAGAGGTCTAGAGCATGGGGTCCCAGGCAGGAACATGGATGAGGTGAAAGGTGAGATGCTTGGAAAACTGAAGAGGCCCATAGCCCTGCAGGTGAACCCTCCACTTCTTTCTGTTCTTCCTATCACAATCAGATGAGTATTTAAGTACTGCCTAACAGGTTTTGGCTAAAAGAGGTCAAGACCCTAATATCACCGCCCTCCCCCGACAGCTGAGACAAAAAAAATCAATCAGTACTTCTTAAAGACGTGGGGGAGAGAGAGAGCAACCAGGCTTCCTGGACGGCAGCTGTAAAGTAAGAAGCTACTTCTAGCCTGAGTTCTGAGCAGGTAAGGGCCTGAACTTAAGACCAGGTTGTTCTGGCAGTCACACAGAGTTGTTATCCATCAGGGTTGATGGTGTCCCAGTGATCGTGCCTTCTGCCCCGACTTCCGGTTGGGGAAAGCAGAAGCTGACACCACCAGGTCTCCGCTTAAATGCCCACGCAAGCACTGAGCTAGCAGGACTGGGGCGACCAGCAGTAGACTCTTTGCTCTGAGACCCAAAGCGCTTCATCCTCCCTCCCAGGCTCCATTTTCCCAACCGCCGCCACAGCACCGCGCGTGTTGGGAAGCACTCCTCCGCCCCCCTTCCGCCGCACCCCACCCCTCCGCCCTGCGCCGCACAGCCTGCCCCGCCCGCGGGCACCTGGAACGTCGGGACAGGAGCCGGCACGCACGCGGCGCGCCCGCCTCGTCCCCTCCCCCCCGCGAATTCCCCGAATTCCTGCGGGCGGAGCCTGGGCCCGCGTGGGGGTTCAGCGCACAGAAGCCTGCAGGGGCACCGCCACAGTGGGGGGAGCAAGATGGGGGATGCTCTCAGTGCCTCATGGCCCCCTCCTTAAGAGGGCTGCTTCGGCGAACACCGAAGCTCTAAAGCTTGGGGAACTGGGACTCCAATAATCAGGGGGGTTAGAATTCAGCATGAATAAGGAGCTCCTGGTCCATGTGAAACCCAATGGGAAGTCCCTCTAGCCTCTTTTCTAGAACCCGCGTCTCCACCTCCGACCACCCGGTGTTGGCAATTTGGGCTGTCGGGGCTGTGAGGGACCAAATGCGGTGACGGGTCCCTTCCTTTCCCTAACTACTTCACTCACCGAAGTAGTCCTCTCTGGCCTCCGGCTCCCGCATTCGGGGTCGGGCGGCCTCCGGAACGAAAGGACCCGGCGGCTCCTCAAGACCAGACGGTTCAATCGCCGAGGGTTCCCCACGGGCACCGACCTCACGTCCACCTGTGCTCGCCGTCAGGCGCAGCAACGCTGTTAGCTCATCTTGGTATCCGGCGCCCGCAGCACAGTCCCCGTAGCCGGTCACCGAGTGTCGTCCGGGTTGCGCCCCTCGTCTCTCCAAGGGCCCTGCCGCTCCCACTCCAGCCCCGGCTAGAGCCCCAGGGCTGCCCAAGGCCGGGGGATACGAGTGGCGGCTTTCCTGGCAGCCGAACCCCGGGGGCCGATGAGCGCACAGTCGGTCCAGGGCAGCGTGGAGCTCGGGGTAAGCGGATGGCACCCCTCCAGAGGAATAGCCCGCCGGAGCCCCAGCCAGAGGTGGGCCAAACAGGCATGGCCCGACGGGGAGGGGGCTGCCGTGGCGCTGGTCGTAGCCCATGCTGATGCCGCTGGTACGATTGCTGCAGGGTCGGCTACCTCCGGCTCCGCCGGCCCCCGCCCCATCCAGCAGCAGGCTACCTCGGGGACTGGACGGCTTGCTGGCGTCGCTGGCTGAGCTACTGGCAAAACTGGAGCGGGGGCTTAGGGCGGGGGCCGTGGTGTCCAGCCGAAAGTCTGGGGTCAATGACTGAGGTAGAGGCAAGGCCCGCGTGGAAGGCGGTCCCCCGGAAAAGGAGCCCTCGTAGCGCTGCGCCTCAAAGGAGCCGCGCAGGTTCCGTTCAGCGTCCAGGGGGCCTTGTTCCCGCGGTGGCTCCAACGGCTCATCCCCAGGTCCCCCAGTAGCTCCACAGTGCCCTGATTTTCTAGGTACCCCCGACCCACTCAGGCGCCCCTTGCCCGGTCCGGGAGTCCCATCAGACCCAGACCGGCTAGATTCACCCTTTCTGCGGCCGAATTTAGCGCTGCCGGAGTCCGAGAGTCTTAACTTCTCCAGCAGACGACTGGCTTTCTCTCCTAACCGCTCCATGCCCTCGGGCCTGGGGCCTCCAGCCCCCTCCCCGACAGGCACCCTGCAGTGTCTCGGCCGCCGCTTCTCTTTCCCTGCGGCCGGACTCCGGTTCCCCAGGGGCACAGGATAGGCACACGGGATTTAGCGGGCGGCCCGGATGCCCGGTGCCAGGAATCCCACAGCATCCCCCAGCAAGAGGGGCTGTGTCCCCCCGTGCATCAGGGGTTAAGCAGGGCTAGAAGGGCCTATGGCCGCAGCTGTCCCATCCGCAGGTCTTTCTGTTCACGCACCAACTCGACCAGCCACCCCACTCTCCGCAGCCTCCGCCCCCCTCGCTCTCACACTCAGCACCGACGGGACTTCTCTCCCAAACTTTTGTCTGCCTGGCCGGATCTACTTTCCTGAAGGGGCGGAGCGCCGAGTGCGAGAGGAACAGTGGTGTCCGCGCAGGGATCTCTGGTGCGCTGATGGGGGCGGTGGGAGCTGGAGCTAGATGTCGTGAAGTGGAGATCCGCCGACTGAAGAGGAGGGCAAGTTTGGGCAGCTGCTACTACATCACTCAATAATTGGGACAGGAAAAAGTTAGGGTGGGACTCTTTGTCTGCAGTTGGAATGCGCGGAGGGGCACAGTGGAATGTCGTGGTCTAGTACGAGGCGACGCGAGGCAAGTTGTGCGCAAACACCACGACTTTGTTCCTACTGTGGGGACTAGAAATTCAGCTGGAGAGAGTTTGATGCATAAGTAGGGTGACACGGAGGGACCCATAAAGAGGAAGACGGGGGAAAGAAGAAAGGTAGATACATAGGGAGGTTCAGCGACGCCTACGTCAAGTCCAAAAGGCGAGGAAGCCCATGTAGAGAGGTGGTGGAAGACAGCGAAAGGAAAGGGAGCAAAGGGGATCGGGGGTAGTGCAGAGACCGAAGGATGAATAGACTAAGAAAAATATACATATGTGTAAGTCCAGGGAGGATGAAAGATAAAGAAATAAAACTTCAATAAAAAGACACTACTTTCTGAACTTAAAGCTCTGTGTAGGGAGAGAAGGAACTTTGGTGTCTAGGTAAAAGGAGGAAAAGGTTTGGAATCCTTACCTTTAGGTTATGACAGATAGAGGGATAGCCCCCTGGTGTTGGGAAAGGAGATTTTTAGTAAATAATTCAGGTGACTGGCATAGAAAGTCTGGTTTTAGGGATAGCGAACGCCTCTCCCTTGGCCCACAGGGCATTGATGGGAGAGTAAGTATAACGAAGAAGAAATGTCATTGAAAGGAGATAGGAAAAAAGGCTTATATTGGTCATACTAGAAGGATCAAGAATAAGGAAAAGAAACCATAGCTGAAGCTGAACATAACCAACTAAATACCAGCCAACTGATTTTGCCCAGACTAGCACATCAGGGGCAAGAGAAGGAAGTAGAATGGAGAAAGAAAATGAGTCCTTTGTATTTAGATAGTAAACGAATATGAAAATTATATGCAAAAAATAATGCATATTATTTTCGGCTCAACATTTTGAACACCTTTTATAATCTTAGTGTAGCCTTAGGGAATGGGGAAGGAAAGGAGGTTAATATATTTTGGGAAATTAATTTGGCACAAACTATTTGGCTTCTTTGTCCTAGCTGCATTGTTACCCTGACCTCATCTCTCCTGAGAATCAGCCTGTTACCCTGGTCAGACTTACAGCTTTTCTCTGATCCAGAGGAGAGTTTACTATCAGACTGGAAGCAGGGAGGACCGAAAGCGTTAGTAAAGAGGAGAGCTATCAGATTGCATCCAGAACTTGCTGTGAGCAACATCTTCAGAATTAGCTATAGGGCTCTCCCTCCTTTCCTGTCTCCAGATGGGGAAAGAGAAACTGAATTCTTCCTTCCAATTCTTTACATCTAGAATAGCCCCACAGCCTCTAATACTTAGAAGCTTTGCTCTGTTGGGATGAGGATGGGAGAATAAATCTTATGAAAAGTCAAAAAGCCATTAAAGGAAGCCCACTCAGGAGTTGGTGGTGGCAGCGATAAGCACAGTTGGGATCAACAACCTGTGTTTTCAGGGGATCATAGGAAGTGGACACAAGGGATAGAGGGGAGCACTGAGGGCATGCTCCAATAGTGCTCACAACCTCAGGGTAACCAGTCCACAGTCTGAGCTGGAGCCGGGAGTTTCCTGGGACCTATTTTCCATCCCTAAGACTTTAATTAAGGGCTGTATATACAGGTGACGGCCAAATCCACATCTCCAGCCCAGAGTTTTCTTGGATTTAAAAATTTCATCTGACTACTAGTATCTCCACTTGATTGTCTCAAAGTCATAAAACACCTCATCTTTCCTGCCTCCTGAAACTGGCTCCTCCAGCATTCCCTGAATAAATGGCATCATTAACCACTTAGCTGCTTAATCCAGAAACCTGAACATCAACCTTACGTCCTCCTCTCTTAACCTCAAATACAACTAAGTCCTATCTGTTCTGCTTCCTAAATCCCTCTCAAATCTGCCTCCCTTCATCACCACTATGGCTGTCAGGCCACACTCTTTTCTCTCCTGAACCACTGCAGCAGTCTCACTGCCAAGCTTTTCTCCCTCCAAGCCATCTCATAACCTGAAGTGAAGTGAGTCTTCTAAAACACAGAAATGATTAGCTCACTTCCCTCCTTAAAACCTTTTAGTGAGCCCTGGCTGGTGTGGCTCAGTGGATTGAGCACCAGCCTGTGAACCAAGGAGTTGCTGGTTTGATTCCTAGTCAGGGCACATGCCCGGGTTGCAGGCCAGGTCCCTGGTAGGGGGGCGCTTGAGAGGCAACCACACATTTATGTTTCTCTCCCTCTCTTTTCTCCCTCCCTTCCCTTCTCTCAAAACAAAAAACCACCAAAGACCTTTCAGTGATTTCTGAGGTCTAAACTATTTAAGATATTTTACAAGGTTTCTCTACCTCTGCAGCCTCTTCTCTCAGCATCATCCCCTCCACAAGCTGTTCTGCAGTAGAATTGTACTTTGTCTGTGCTCCCTAGAACTTGTTGTTCCCTGTGTTTAAAATACTATCCTGGCCTCTTCTTCTCTTCTGGTTAACTCCTCCTCATCTTTCAGGTATCAGTTTAAACACCACTCTGAGAAGCCTTTCCAGACCACCAGAGTAGGTTAGCTACCCCTGCTGTATACTGCCAGTGCACCCTACACTCCTTCATTATCACTCTTAGCACACTTTTTTTCACTGCCTAGCTTTCTGACTAGATAATAAAACCTCTGATCAGCATCTACCTTGATGAACAGTGTATCTATAGCACGGTAACTGACACTTAGTAAGCAATCAGTGTTTGTTATATGAATGACTGAATAGAAAGCCATTTTTATTTCCCAATCTATTCAAAATGCACAAATTTTGTGTACTAGTGTGTGCACACGTGCACACACACATATCCCTTCCTCAAAATACTGCTTGGCTGATAGGACTAAGAAATAGCTACAGAGCCCTATATACTGTTTGGTCACACAATGGGAAAGAAGTGCCAGTGAGACATGGGTATTTTTTAAGTCCTAACTACCTCATATGTAAGATGCAAGTAGTAAAATCTGCTTTATATAATTCAATAAAGTTATTAAATCTAAATCCTAAATCCCAAAAAGGGATGGAGCCCCTCCCAGTTCTGCTCAGAAGAATCAAGCTCATGACTGAAACTGCCCACCGGGTGGCAGTATTACCCTGGACTGGTCCTGTGCTGCTTCCAGTGCAGAGCAAGACCAGCAGTCCTGGGAAGCAGGAGGTGCAACCAGAGCTGCTTCCCCAGAGCTTTGAATGAAACAAACAAAAAAAATAACAACAGAAACAACCTCAGAGACCAGGGCATATGTCGAGAAGGTCTCATGTTTCTTAGACACATCCTCCTCCTTTTCTCATCCTAGGCTCTTCTGAGGCACTGTTTATGCTTAGGAATTTTCTAGCTTGCCATTCACAATTGGGGGGAGCAGTTTCCCCACTTTCAGATAAGTCCTTTTATTCCACCAGAGCTGCCAGCTTCCACTTCCTGTAGGGAGTGTAAGAAAAGAGGCAGACTTGGTTTCTTGGACTGCAGAGGATATCTCAGTATTCTGGGAAGGCCCAGAGCCACCTTTTTCTGAGACATGAGGAGTGGCAGAAGCCACAGCTACTCTTGATTATAGATTTCACTCATCCTTTTCCACCTTGATTTCAATGAATGAGTTCAAGTCAGGACAGCAGGTTTTGTGGGACTGGTCAAACGACAGAGAGAGAGGTCCATTTCCATCACCTCCCTCATCTTCCTCTTCTTGGAAATTAGGATTGTAAAGTTCTGGTGGAAGGAGCTGGGCCTCAGCAGAAGGTAATCGGTCTGAGGGAGGCCCGTACACACGGTTGGCTTTAGTGCCATGCTTAGAGTTGGCATCCAGATGGTAGCAGAGCTCTGTGAGGCGCTGGGCCCGGAAACGGGGAGGCCGGGCTACCCAGACACCTGGCTCATTAAGACTGTCCTCTTCATCTGACATCAGCTCTTCTGTCACATCCTTCCATAGGCGTTGGTCCTCAGGTCCAAAATGTCTCATAATACTGGATCGGTTGGCAAAAAGCTATGGTACGAGCCGAGGACAGAGATTAGGAAGAGAAACAAACTATGGGTTAGGTTTGGGGATAGGGTCTGGGTGGGAAGAGTGCTCTGCAAAATCTGTGCCTAAGGGAACCCAGCCCCCAAGTCAAATCTTAGAACTAGCTCACCCTCTTCCTACTCTATCTGCCTACATTCCTGGCTCTCAACTCTATTCTCAGATGCCACTACCTCTGGCCCTTCCTACTGCAGCTTATTAGGGTTTAGAGCTTACATCTTGAAAGAAGGGCCTAGAAACATACCCGGTATCTGCGACTTCGAAGTTTCTTCTCCTCTTTTTCCTTCAGGCCTTTAAAGGGGTTCAGGGAATTGCGGTACTCACGCCTCTTAGTAAGGAAGTAGGCTACACAGGCTCCTGGCAGGTAGGGAGAAGGGAGAAAGCAAAGAGCAGTGATTCTCAGTCCTTTGTTCTAGCTGAACACTACTGGATGGGATGGTGAGAATCACTATTTAGATGATGGGTTTTCTTGGAATAATCGCCCATCAGAAAAAAAAAATATTATCCACTATTTTCAAAACTTCTTTGGTTTAGCTCTCCCTGCCCACATCTATCTCTAACACTAATTCCTCCCATATCTCCCACTAGAAGAAAAACTCCAATGCTTTTGTAACCCCCCCCCCCCAATTAAACTCACCCCCATTCTACTCTGCTGATACTTATCTCAGTTACACCATTTTGGCATACACAGTGGCAGACCCTGGAAGTTGGGGTCAGCACCCCCCCACACACACACCGTGGCCATTAACCACAGAGCTATGCCTGAGTCTCAAGGCCCCACTAGAGGCTAGAGGCTGCAGGCAGGCTTAGGGCTTGAGCCCATGAGCGTGGACACTGTCGTCCTGCCTGCCAAAGGCCTTAGCATTCCCATGGGTGGGGCCAAGGAGACCAGATGTCAGGGTGGTATCAGGTCTCTGCTCAGGACGGGTCTGACAAAGTTACATGTGATATGGTGGTATGCCCTGGACTCGGGTGGACAGATCCTCCAAGCCCACCCTGGTTCCGTGGCTGACTTGCCAGGTGGTGTTAAGCAAGTTGTTTCTCATTCCTTGCTGGGTCTGTTTTCAGACTAGCACTGCCAGTGAGGACTCCTAGGAGTCTTCCTGACTCAGACAGGTGTCAAGTTTGCCCACTCTACTGAATTGTGACATTGGCTCTCTTCTGCAGAATCGTTCTTAATGCCTCTGGGTTAGCTACAGACAAATAACATAATAGCAAGGAAAATAGAAAGCCCAGGACCTAATATGTAGGGGTGCAGGGGCAGGCCTACATTCTGATCTTCTTTTCCTACCACCTAGGTTTAGGCCCTACGTAAACATCACACATAATGATATTTTAAACCTTTCCTTCTCCCATTTTCATTTCAGACTGAGTAGGGCAATAAAAAGGCAATTAGAGACAATCCTGTGAATACATGAGAAGCAAAAAAAAAAAAATTTTTTTTTAATCTATTTTCGTCATCTTCACTATGCCTCTTCTCTGATCAGAAACAAAGGGAGAAGAATGAAATGGGAGTTAACTCAGTGTTTCTCACCTTTCAGCTCCTTATCGGTGTAATTGTGGGGACTGGTCATCAGCTCCTGCTTGAGCTTTTCCAAAAGGAACTTCACTACTGAAATATTCCAAGAGGATTTGATGCTACCACAAAGAGAAGAGAGTGAATAAAGCAGTCAGCATTTTTGAAATTAGACAGATAGAGATTCCCAGTTTTAATCAACTTTGTGGTAAACTCCTCCATGGCCTAGGATAGGAAACAAGAGGTAATGGTGTGTCCAAAGTCTTAGACTCATTATGTTAAAGCAGCCCCCTCAACTTCCCTCTCCTTGGCAAAATATGTCATGGCTCTATTTTTAAAATTTTTTAATTAATTTATTTTTTAGAGAGAAGGGAAGGGAGGGAGAAGGAGAGGAAGAGAAATATCAATGTGAGGGAGAAACATTGGTTGCCTCTCAGGTATGTGCCCTGACTGGGAATCAGGAGTTGAACCAGCAACCTTTTGCTTTGTGGGACAATGCCCAACCGAGCCACACCAGTCACATACATCATGATTCTTTTCCCTCAAGTGGATCATACCTTTCAGACCCATTGAATCTCTTGTCATTGGTGATGTGATTATGCACATTGTGGACCAATTTCTAGGGGAAAAAAACAAACACACACAAAATCAAACCAGGAGTGGACATGATGAAACCTTCCTCTGGTCCCTATGCATTGTCCCCACAGGGTTCTCCACCTGAATCCTTCCCACGATTTGGGAACCATTTCTGTCAAAGTCCCTTCTTAGCCAGAGAGCCTATCCAAGTTAGTATTTCTAATGGGACCCTTTCCCCTGATCTTTTTAATTAATTTGTATGAAGACTCCAAGATCATGCCTGGTCTTACTTCTGCTCCTGAGGAGTACGATCATTAGAGCAGAGGGTCTCAAACATTTCCACAAACATACTCCCAATAGCAAGGAGAAAGTGGATATACACCAGGGCTATTGCAAGTGGACATTTCTTGAAGCCCTGTACTCTAACAAATTTTCAAAATTTCTTCATAATATATCTGTATTTTTTAATATAAAATATTTTCCAAAATCTAGTAAAACTGACAAGCCAGAAAAATGCCCCAGGTATATCCTTTTGCACATTACCACAAATCCCAGGGGTACACACACCATGGTCTGAAAAATACAAACCTAAAATAACAGATATGTGAACTGGAAGGGACCTTGGAGGCTCTATCGCTCAGCCCCCCTTTTACATCATTAAACAGTCTTTCAGCTTTGCTTATACATCTTTAATGATGGGTCCTCACTAGTTTTTGAGTCATATTATTCTACTATTGAATATCTCTATTAAAAACTCCTGCCTCTGATGCTCCAAATTCTGACTTGTTTTGCCTATAACAGTACCTGGAATATTTTAAGACAGCTGCCATGTACTTCCAAAGTCTTCTCTTACCTGATCTAAATATCCCCCACATCCTTTAGCCATTCTTCATAACAGTTTCCAGACAGACTCGTCATGAAACCATGAGGCTCTCTGGTTTGCCAGTGTCCCTCTTAAGAGCGTGGCACTTGGAACTGAATCTAACTCGTTAGTTGAGGTCTGGCCAAATGGAGTGTTACTTCCCAAGTGGAACTCTACACTTCTAGGAATTAAACCCAAGATAGTGTTACCTTTCTTAGCAGCCCTATCCCTACTCACAATGTTACAGGGTTCATTCATAGTCAACTCAAGTTCATTTTTCACATGGATTACTATGTCTACCACTCTGCAGATTTTTAAACATTTTCATGCAGGATTTAACATTTTTTCCTATTAAATTTAGTATTTAGTTATGTTGTTTCCAATTATATTTTCATTCCAGGCTCCTGCAGTCAATGGATGTTAACCAGTCCCAAGTTGATGGACTCATACCCTGACCTCAGGGCCTAAGCATTTTATTCAGAAACGTCCAATTTACCCTTCTGCCTCTATGGCTGACTGACCATATCAACTTAGGAAATTACTGTTAATTCTTTGTGGCTAGGGTCTCCACTCTCTCTATAAAGACTATTATACAAACTTCATATTTGATAAAGTTATTTTACCTCTTAGAAGTCCAAACATAAGGAATCACAGGGTATTGTGTGAATGCTCTAGGGAGAATTTGAGAGTTGCAAAAGAAGAAAGGAAAAAAAGGAGTTACATAGTTCCCAGTTCAAGTGGCTTAGAAGAGATGAGCTGATAAAAATCAAGCCAGGCTTGAAATGGAAAGGGAAAATACTCTAAATGATACTAAGTAATAAGACTGTAAAGGCTGCTGGCTCACCTGTATCCTGAGTGAGCTAAAAATGAATGGATTTCTACAAGGGGTGTTGGGGATATGCAGCATTCCAAGGAATTAAAAATTCTGGTTTGGTCCTTTGGATCCCCAGCAGCAACCCACAGGAGTTATCAGCAGATTCGAGAGAGGCCTCTCTGATTCCTCTCCAGAGCTAAAGGTTGGAATAGTGAAGATCTGCATTATCCTCTCTCTAAACCTAGTCTGGCACAAGAATGTTTTAAACATTCCTCTGTGAAAGGCAGCAAAATTCCCTGACTGGTTCTCTAGATCCTTTTCAGGTACTAAAATGAGTGAGCATACTGTACTCCCAGAAGGTCTGCTGTTCCACCAAGTTCTTCAAAGGACAGGAAGAAGCCAGGCCTCAATACTAGACCTGTTACTGGAGGCAGTAGGCAGGAGAGGAATGGAAGTGATAGAAAATACTGATTTTATGCAAATTAGAATTATAATATATTTATTCATAACTTAAACACTATAAGTTTGGGAGAAATCCCTTGAAATGCCTCCATTTTTACCACTGGCAGCAAAAGTGGATCTCCTGGGCCAGAAATCCATGACAGAGAAACTAAACCTAGTTCCTGGGGGTTTTTTTTGTTGTTTTTTTTTTTTAAGATTTTATTTATTTTTAGAGAGAGGGGGAGTGAGGGAGAAAGAGAGGGAGAGATACATCAATGTGTGGTTGCCTCTCCTGCACCCCCTACTGGTGACCCGATCCACAACCCAGGCATGTGTCCTGACTGGGAATCAAACCGGCGACTCTTTGGTTCACTGGCTGGCACTCAGTCCACTGAACCATACCAACTGGGGCACTATTCCCTGTTCTTGATAAGTGACCAGATGTCCCTGAACACAACCAAAATTTGGAATGAAGCTTAGAAACCAGTTGATTATGGTGTCTTTCTTCCTAGGGAGAAAAAGAATCCCTTAATGTAAAAACAAATCAAATGAAAGGGAGAGTAAGAGTAGGATCTCTTAGAAAAAGGAAAAGGGAGAAAGAAGTAATGTAAATAAAGGAGGTATAAGTGTTTTCAATCTTTGCTAAGACTGTAACAAGAAGAAATGTGCGACATACAGTGATAAGATTTCAGTTGGATGTGAGTGGAGATCTCCACTGCTAACCAGAACTCCCAAGTTACTTCATCAGCCATTATCCAGGGAATGGAAACCCATTACAGTCAATCTGAATATTAGATGGCTAAAGAACATCCCCATGATTATCAGAAAGATGTTTTTGGGTACAGAGTTGATCCTAAGGACTACAATCACCCTAGAACAGGGTTTCTCAACCTTGGCACCTGACATTTTTGGCTGGATAATTGTAGGGGATTGTCCCATAAGCTGTAGGATGTTGAGCAATGTTCCTGGTGTGGGGCTTTATGCCACACCAAGGTTGTAGGCAGAACTGGCTCAGGCCAGTACATTCTCTGCCAGGAGCTCTTACTCACTAGAATCCCCAAACCTTTATAAGTGAGCTTACTGCCTGGTGGCTCTCTGCATCTTTGGGGATTGGGACCTCAGGACACTCTGGCCTTTCTGCCCAAAGGGCTTATCCTGAACACAGGTAATTTGCAGGTAGTTTCCAGTGCTACCCTTCACTGGTCAAACTGCTCAATCCCTTAAAGATCTTCCCCTTAGGGTTATTAGATCCCTGGGAGATGTGATATAATGCCCCCCTCTTAAAAAGAAGATAACAGTATATCCAGAAAAGCCTTTAAAAAGTTCTATTGATAAGAGGGACGCCCTACCCCTAGAGCTATGAAACAATCTCCTTCTTGCCCCTCCCTCTCCAGTAAGATTCAGGATACCATTCATTTGATAAAATAAAATGAATGTTATCTGGAAGTTTAACATCAACCCACACTTCACTCTTCATCTATCTTTCCATACTGAAGAAAAATTCATAGAAATTGAGCTCACTCACAGAGAGTACCAGATCCCGCTTGCGCCTGGAGTTCTTCTGCCCACTCCCTCTGGTCCTGCATGGGGAAGCGGTAAACCCTAGAGAGTGTCTCAGCTCCCCAGTTCCCCCTGGGCCTGACTCTTCCAAGGCACCTTCCAGCGCAGCGGCAGCACTGAGCATGTCCTCGGGGCGAGGCAGTGGCAGCTTGGTTCCATTTTCTGGCCCTGTCTCTGAGGTTGCCCGCTGGATAGCCAGTTGTGTGGCTGGTGAGAGCTGCTTGGCATAAGCAGAGACCAGCACTCGCTGTACTGCACCCTCAGAGGCCACATAATCATCCACCAGCTAAGAACATAAAAAAGAATAGCCTATTAGCCAGCCAGGCTTAGGGGAACCTGGTTAACCATCAATCTTTGGCCAAGGATAATGAACAGAGTGGAAAGCAGGAGGGATCTTGCACAGCCTTTAATAGTCAATGGCTTGTTTCTCTGGGACTCCTACAGGAGTGTTGGGCAAATACTTCTGTGTGTACAAGGCCTCTTATGTTGGGTCATTACCATAGGACTGATTATAAGGATAAGGCATGTTTCTGACAATCTATTTATGAGGGGTCATTTAAGATTTGTTCTCGGGTGTAAGAATTATAGCTAAGTAAGTGTTTCATATAAAAGGGATGGGGGGAGGAAGTGATGACAAGAAAGGAAAACCAAGCAAGAGAAGGAGCAAGAAAATAAAATGGTAACACTAATAAAGGGGAGAAACTGGAGAAAAACGGGAGCAAAGGAGGGAGGTACAAAGTCAGAAATCTCTAGAGAGGCTGCCACCAACTCCCCCCAACCCCCATTCCTTTTGTGGGGTCAGTCTGTGCCCTTACCTTGACCCTGCCCTTGCCATTCAACTGTCACTGTCTTGACACTTACTTGCCTACCTGTGTCCTCATTCAAGGACATACAGGACAGGGAAAGGAAGGAGGGTGGAAGGGAGAAAGAGGAAAGAAGAAAGGAGGGGGGATTTCTGCACCAAGAAAACTAAACAGTGAAAGTGGCAGAAAAAAAACACAGAAAGAAGCGGGGGAGGAGGCTGAGATTTATAGACCTGTGAGCTGCTTTCTGCGCTGGAAAATGTAATTCCATCCTGTCAGCTCGGAAGCTTTCCCTGCCTGAAGGAATCAGAGCTCAGGGCATTGCCTGGCCCGGTACCCTCCTGCCTCTTCCTCCCTTCCCGATCCCTCCTTCCAGAGCCCCACCCCACTGAAAGTCCTGGCCATGCACTGGGGAGAGCAGCAGTGGCCATCACCTCGGCCCTTGGGGAGCAGTGACCAGCTGCAGTGTGACACTGGAGGGGGACAGAGGAGTTTATATTCCTTTCTCAGATCCAGCAGATGGGCTGGGCATTACTTCCCATCCTCCACCCTGTGTGTCCTGCTCCTCTGCTCTTTCCTGGGTGTCTGAGCCTAGTCATGGCAGGAGGAGGAAGAAGCTGGGGAAGGAGAGTTGACAGACCTCCCACTGTCTCTCAAGTAGCAGCACATCTGTTATTTTCCCATCCCTATGATTTCTAGAGTTGTTCCATCTCCTTTCCCATACTTCTGTGGGTGACATTCTGCAGTTTTTACTCTACTCAGCCAGGATTTGCCTGCTCATATGGCCCTGAGCAATAAAGAAACTGAAATAACACAAAGTATTGTACTTCTGTCTTTTTCTGCTCACAAATATGCTCTTACTTCCCTCTTTCTCCTTACATTATTCTCTTGCTGTTAACTCTCGGTGGCCCACTTCTTTTCCTCCTCTTATTTCCTTTCCTTTGCCTTCCTCCCACCTTACCTCTTATTTTCTCTTGCATAAAGTCTCCCTCCGTTTAGATTCACCTCTTATGCTCCCTTTTTTTACTTTTTCTTGTTCCTCACCCCTTCATTTCCACCTGCCTCTTCCCCTCCCTATTCTGTCTTCTATTATCTTTGTCCTCCCCCTCTTACTTTTTCCTTCCATCTATCTTTCTCCACCTTTGCCTCTCTCCCCTCTCATTCCCATCTTTCTGTACTGAATTCCTCTTGGTAAGCAGAGGGCTCGTGATAAAATATAAATGAGCCGTCTGTGCACAGCAGGCATTCTCGCTGGGAGAGGCAGAGCACATGGAGCAGCAGAGACAACTGTGGAGGAGAAGGTGCCACACAGCTACTGAGAGGGAGGGAAGGGCATCCCCATCACCACACACATACCACAAATGACCTCCTGCCAAAGAGGCTATGGTTCATGAAGGAAACAGGAGTGCTGATTATCTCTGAAGGCAAAGGAAATGTGGTGTTCTGTTTTATCACAAATACAACCAACAGAGAGGTTTAAAGAGGGGGACAAATACAGAAAGAGAAATAAAAGAGAAAGGCCAGGAAAAGCACTAAGAAGCAACAACACTCGTGTCCTACTCTGCAGCCATACTCACGGGATTGAGCATCGGGGTCCCCTCATTGGCAGTCAGGGCACATCCCGGGAGCCGCATATCTCTCTGAGTGGCTGGGAAGCCCAAAGGCCCCGGCCCTACAGCCAGGGCCGCTCCCAGCTGCTGCTCGATCACCACCTGCACACCGCTGCCCACGCTGTCACACTCCTCTTCCACGGTAGGCACAGCCTTGCAGGCTTCCCCAGGGCTCTCCTTGAGAGACCCAGGTTCCTCAAGTGGTGAACCATGTGCCCGGCTGTCCCCATCTTCATCAGGGGTGGACACTTGACCTTGCCTCAACTCACCCACTTCCTCCTGGAGACGTTTTAACAATTCATTGTTGGCCCTGGCAAGACCCAGAGCAGCCTCAGCCAGGCCCACTGCCTTATCCACCCGCTGGTAGATAATATGCAGGAGCTGGTCTGAACTTTGAACAGCCAGGCCATGTCCAGTTACTGTGATAGGGGTACCAGGAGGAGGATTCCCGCTCTGAGAGCCCGTGCTGCCCCCATTAGTCTCGCTCTTACAGGCACAGCAGCAGCATCTGGACTCGCTGCCACTGGGAGGGGAGAAGAGAATGGTGGCACTGAAGGACATGGCTGACGGAATGAGGAACAACCACGCTCAAACTGCTGGCCTGCTCCCAAAGCTGTCCCCTGTCGAATGGACTTCACGGGTTTGGTAGGAAGCACTGGCCTCTTTGGATTCACTTTTCTTTCTCATGGAGGGTGATCAGAGGAGCCTGGGCACCAGGCAGTGTGTTCTGTGAAGGAGTATGCAAGCCATGAAGGAACATATAGTCCATGACTGCTTCTCCTTGTCCTGCACAGGAAGGTAGATGCCTTCTTCTGTCTGCAGATCCTGTGCTCTACTAGCACAACACACTGGGTATCACATTCACCCCTTACTGAAAGCGTGGTGCCTACAAAGGCCTCCCTGATGAACACAGTTTTGGGGGTAGAAGGCGTTCTTCCTGCACACAAGCATGGAACTTCCTACCACTCCAACCTAAGGAGCAGAGAGGGGACTCGAAAAGACCCACTGAGATCTGAAAAGATTAGAAGATTAAGGAAGAAAATGTAGATCTGTCTTCTCCTCCTCATTATCTTTGCTGTAATAACAATATTGTATTTTATTGCTTTGACATCATTCCCTAAGGAGTTCAGAACATTGCACATAGTTATCTCACCCATAGAGCAGCCCTAGGAAACACATATTACACCAAGTCCAGCAAAAAGACATGTGAAGAAGTTATATATCTTTTTCAAGATCAGAGGAAGACAGCAGAATCTAATTATCTATTTTTAACCTAGTGTTTATTTTTTTTGACCTGATACAACTTTTTGTTGACATAAAGAATCATGATTCTATCCTCTATAATTTTCATACAGATGCATTCAGAGTAAGACTCCTAAATAAGAAATATGCTGGTCACTGATCAGAGAAGTGAGCTGCAGGAACCCAGGGCTGCAGAGCCCCCTGTTCTGCTGTATACCTGGCCCTCCTCCTCTGCAAAGGAAAGTAGTTGTTGTGAATCCTCCAGTACATAGCCCAGGGAGATCACCTCTGGGGCCCCTCAGCTCCACTTCTCATGCTCCTTAAGGGAGAGGCAACTGCTCAACAGGAATGCCTAAATAGCTAAGTGCTGCGGCTCTGCCCACATGACCAGCCCCCATCAAAGGAGAAACCAGAATACCAATGATAAACCAAACTGCCTCTCTTTTGAACTACTATAGTTAAGCAACTAAACTACTTCAGGAGAGAGAGAGGGAAAAAAGGTGTGGAAAGGTTGATTTTTACCAACGAGAACACTCCAAGGAACCTCATACTGTCATTTTCTAAATGACACCTGATTATAGAAAAAAGAATCATTCTGCCTGAAGCTCCCTAAGTGACAAAATCTTAAGTGTGTTTACAATTTCCTATCTTACCCTGCAAATTATAACATCACAATTAAAAGGAGAGGAGGAGGTTAGAAAAATTTTCTGTATATTGAAATGGGGGGGTTGGTATCCTGGGGTTTTTTTTGAATCAACAATTCCATTTCAGAAACAGGTAATATCAATGCCTCTGAAGCAGGAAAGTGTAAATCTGACAATGCATTTTCATTACACTTGCTTATTAAAGAATAGTCTTTAATTTGTTCTTCCCACCTTTTATATCAAGAAATGCTTTTCTGTGCCAGATACTCACTTCTTGCAAGAACTGAACTTAAATCCATTATAGCTTCTCTGTCATTAGAGTTACTAGAAGGCACGACTAAACCTAAAACTAAAGGTTAAAGCCAAATTAAAACTAAAGGTTAAAGGAAAGCACTAAGTGATTCCTACATCAATTCGTGGATGAATCATTTCTATATCGTTTTCCCTCTTAAATAAGGGCCTACACAGCTCCTGCAGGTTTTTTCATTTTTTAATCAACATCATGCAAGGAGTTTAATCTGAAACATGGGTGTTGTGAAACAAATAAAGTTAAGTAGATGATAACATAGAAATGTTTGTCAGTTGGGTTAAGTATTTGTAAAATCAGAAATTAAGATGCATCAAGCTGGATACTGGGCAGGGGGGATAGAGGGGCCTTTTCTGATACCAAGCTGAAGGCTGCTACAATCTTGCTCCAAACACTCTTTCTTGCAAGAGGCCTTAACCCCTGCCTGCATGGTGCTGCCTGGAGCCCTTCCGTCCCCCTTCAATGATCTTTCCAAAACAGCACTGAACTGGAAATTTTTTTTAAAAGGCTGGGGGTGGAGCGGGGTGTGTTCGGGTGTGTTCGTCCTCAGCACCACTTAAGAGCTGTTACTCACTTGTTTTTCCTCATCTCTGCCTAGAGTGTTTTTTGTTAAGATTATCTAGAGTGCTGGTATCTAAAGAGTTAGGAACCTACTGCGTGCTGGCACTTGGTCAGTGTTCCACAACAGCAGCTGGACAATACAATGATTATTTCTGAAACACTTGTGTTGCCATCCTGGACACCCATCCCAATTTACTAATCTTAAAAATAAAAAAAAAATTTCAATGGCTTGAAATGGAATTTGGGGGATTTCCCCTAAATTTAATCTCAAATTTCTAAGAATAAATTCAAATCTACAAAAATGCATTTATATAGGTACAAAAGCTTATGATACAAATTAAAGATAATTAAGAAAACAAAGTACTTGCAATGTATTTACTATAATATCTGGTTTTAGACTAAGAATAATATTCAACTCTGCTAGTTTTTAATAATATACTTTCCTATTGTGAATTCTCTTTGTTCAATTTCTTTCTACTTTTCTATTCTGTGTGTTAACATACTATGTTCATTTTAGAATGTCACATTCAGGACAATAAGTGTTTTTTTTTAATTAACTGCAGTATACTGTAGACACAATGGGAGTTCAAATAACTCTTTCTTGGTTTCCATAAATATTATTGCTGACTTATTTCCCTGCCTCCTGCTATAGTCTCCCATTGAACTCTAAGACACTGAAATGAAAGGACAAGGAAAGAAACTGGGTCAGCAGGGAATAAAGGGGTATTTCACATTATCATATTTACTAACCAGATAACTTAAATGCTGGATAGTGATTAAAAACAAAACACTAATGTCATTAATTACATGCATTCCCATTACAGAAGGTGAACAAGTTTGTTTTTCAAAAAAGAGATATTTCTAAAAATTCCCTATATGTAATGTCATGCCAAAGGATGAGTCACCAAAATGGATTATCACTTCTGAGTACTCGAAGAGAAGACAAAGTCCCCACATGCAAAGAGCTAACAGCCTATGTGAGATTTGGAAAGTCTAAAAAACAAGCAATACCAACAAGTGCCTAAAAATATGGTACAGGCTAAAAAACTGAGGAGTTAGATAGAAATAAGGAAAAAAATCAACAAAGTGAGGTTATATGAGAAAGGGGTCTTACAGAAGAAAAATCTCTACTTGAGCCTTGGGTAATGTATAGAATGAACTGGTTAGGGTAGTAAAAAGGCATAATAGGTGAGGAAAAACAAACAAACAAACAAACATTACAGGAAGTAACAGGGCACATGTGAGAGGGCAAAACAAAGGGGCTTATATAGAAAGCTAAGGAAAGCTGACAGAGGACCAAGCTAAGGAAACTCTTACAGCAGGAGTTGGCAAACCATTTTCTGTACAACCAGACAGAAAACAATTTGCTTTCTTTACAACAACTCAGCTCTGCAATTGTAGCACAAAACAGCCATGGATGATACGTTAAAATATGAGCATGGCTGTTCCAATAAAACTTACGTTATAGATATGGACATGTCATAAAATATTACATTTAATATTTACATTAAAAATACATAAGCCATTCTTAGCTTGTGGGCCATATAAAAACAGGTGGAAGGCCAGATTTAGTCCATGGGCTTGCTAACCCCTAAGAGTGTTTTAGAAACCTAAGAGTGGAACAGTTAGAGATTAGGAGACTCTAAGTAATCCAGGAGTGAGTTGATGAGAATGAAAGGGCTGTGGATATAAAGGTTCAACATCCTGGCAGAAGAACTGATATTTCTTTCTTTCCTTCCTTTTCTCTCTTTCTTTTTTTAAAGATTGGTTGCCTCTTGCACACCCCCAACTGGGGATTCTTTTTCTTTTCTCTTATTTTTTTCCTTCCTTCCTTCCTTTCTTTTTTCTCTCTCTCTCTTTCCCTTTCCTTTTCCTTTCTTTCTTTCCTTCCTTTCTTTTCTCTCTCTCTCTCCCTCTCTCCCTCCCCACCCCTTTTAAAGATTAGTTGCCTCTTGCACACCCCCAACTGGGAATCTGGCCCGCAACCCAGGCATGTTCCTCGACTAGGGATTAAACTGGTGAACTTTCAGTTCACAGGCCGGTGCTCAATCCACTGAGCCACACCAGCGAGGGCTGATGATATTTCTTTACTTAATAAATATGAGGGATAGAGATAATGGTTAAAGACAACTTCAAGATTATAAACCTGAAGTACCACTGACATAATGATACAAATGAAGTTGAGAGGAGGCACAAGCATATTAAAAACATGTATTTATTTAACCTGTTAAATTTCAACTGATGGCAACATCTTTAAATAAAATGTACTGAAACCAACTAAGATTGAGAAACACAACCAACAGGAAGGTCAGAGGTGCAAGGCAGATTTGAAATCTTTAGCAGGAGCATTGTAATTGAAACTGAGAGTGACTGAGTTCACCAAGGGGTAAAATAAATATAAAGCGTGAAATGCAAAAGCCAAGGACAACACTTCAAGCCAATCCATGGAAGAGGCTTTATTAAAAAGGAATGGTCAGTGAGGTGGGAGAAAAACAGTGTTATGAAAGCCAAAGGAGAGACAATGTCAAGAAGTGGACCTAATCAACGATGACAGGAGCAGCAGGATGGTTAAAAAGGACCAAAAAAATTTGTGACGGTTACTGGTGATGATCAGAGAGTGTTTTTTTTTTGTTAGTAAAAGTAATACTACACAGCAGATAAAAGAGGAATTGAGTCCTGGCTGGTGTTGCTCAGTGGATTGAGCACCAGCCTGCGAACCAAAGGGTCACCGGTTTGATTCCCAGTCAGGACACATGCCTGGGTTGTGGGCCAGGTCCCCAATGTCGGGTGTGCAAGAGGCAACCACACATTGATGTTTCTCTCCCTCCCTTTCTCCATCCCTTCCCCTCTGTCTAAAAATAAATAAGATCTTAAAAAAAAAAAAGAAAAAAAGAGGAATTGACGGAAAGAAAATGGAAGCAAGACATGAAGTCAAGTTTTCTCGAGTTCATAACTGAAGAAAGGAAATAGGAGTAGGGGCTCTAGAGCTTTGGTATATTTAAAATGCAGAAAGAAAAAAGGCTAGTGAAAAGTAAAGAATACAGATATTAGAAAAGGGTGTAAGTTTTCTCCTAGCAAAGATTCTCCCAATGTGAGAAAAGAAAGGTGAGCTCTTCCTGACACTGCAGAGAAGAAAAACATAAATACAGGGACAAGGATTCGTTGTGGTGGAGAAAGGAAGACAAAGTTGTATACTATAGAGACATTCTTTTTACTTGGAGACAGACTTTCCACAGTACGAGTAATTCAAATTGCTAACAGAACTTTATTATAGGTACTGCTGCATTATCTGTTGTTACAACCTGTTCAGTTCTTTTTTAACACTTCAGACCTAACATAATTATCCTTGCTTTCTTCCTTCACTAGTTTGTTTCTCAAATCTTAAGAATGCTACATTATTAACATGCCTAAACATTATTTTGCCACCTTCTCAAAATGTGTAACTTTAATTCGATAACCCATGAAACTATACATGGAATGTTTGGAATGGTTAACTGTAGTAAATTAACCAGGCAGTACCTATAATACTATTATTAAACATTGATACTGTCAACCTTTGCAATTTCAGATTGCTAATCTATTTTAAAACTGAACTCATATTTTTGTTCAAGAAAGCATAGGAATAAACTAAGATTGACCACCATAGAATAATATACATGCCTTTTGCAAAATGCTATCAATTTTTAAAATTGAGTGTTCAGAAAAAGATCTTCAATTTTACGCTGTGTTGCCAACACAAAATGACAGCATCTGTCAAATTTAAATTTGCATAAAATATTTGTCTGGGGTTCATTTCAGTATTGGTCAAATTTTAATACATGATGAAAGGAGCCTAGAAAATGTACTTTTCAATAATTTTGGTATTTTCCTCGCAAATATTTGGATGAAAAAAAAAAGAAAGCTCATCTTTAGACAACTAGTTCAGGGTGAGACTGTCCATAATCTTAATTATCCCTTTTCTCCCAAGTCATATGTATTTTTATTAGAACTAAATATATCATACTCTTGGCAGCTCCCTTTCTTGCTTTCTACCCATTCTGAGTCTGAATTTTCTGCGTGACTGAGTTCACCTCCAAACTATGAAAAAATAAAAGTTTCTTCACTAATAGATGTGTATGATATGGTATCACTCAGATGATATACGTTTTTTATAATGGGCCCTTGCCTCATTCAGGGTCATGCTAGCAATGGGCTTCCTGAAATGTGATTACTGAAAGCATAGCAATTCATGCCATAATTTTCATTTTAAGAAATAAAAAATGAAAATGGCCACTTAAACCTCCTGCTGTACTGGTCGGCTCCAGTCCTCCACTCGAAGGTGGAAAATGGCTCGCTTGTTAAAAGGTCCTCTGAAAATTTATTTCTATCAGAAATGGGCTCTTTATCACACAAAAGTAGTAAGCAAATATCATAAAGTACGAATGTCCTGCAAAGAAAATCTAAGGTCTCATTTTTAGGGGTAAAAAAGAGAGATGTAGCCCTGGCCGGATGGTCCTATCGTTTTGAGCATTATATGTCAAGGTTGCAAGTTAAACCCCATCAGGACACATATGAAGAATTGACCAATGAATGCATGAATAGGTGGAGCAACAAATCAAAGCTTCTCTCTCTCTCCCTTCCTCTAAATTCAACTGAGAGAGAGAGGGAAAGCCATATAGACTCACACAGAAGAATGAAAAGGATTTCATCTAGCCCCTGTGGGTGTGGCTCAGTTGGTTGGAGCACCCTGCCACACACCAACACTGGGAGTTCGAGAGCTGGTCAAGGGCACATGCCAGGTAACCAATAGATGTTTTTCTCTCTCTAAAATCAACATACTGAAAAAAGAACTCCACCTAACCCCAAAAAATTCCAAGTATACTTGTAGGGTGACACAAGAGATTTTAACTCAGTCATTAGTCATTCATTATGCACAGTCATTATGTACATTTGCTAAAATGCAACTTGGTAAAATTAAATTTTTCCGGCTTAAGCGTTAAAGGAGTCTTCCTACATTTCTGGAGAAACTAAAAAATGAAAAACTAAAGCTGTATCAAGTGCCCAGAAAGCCCTCGGTAAATGACAGTTGGTTAGTCAAAAATGACAAGGTGGGCACCAGGACAGACCATTTCCGAAGAGACAGTGTGATTCAGCTACAGACGGCGGGGGGGGGGGGGGGGGGACCCAGCTCCGGCACTGCCTCGAAAGCCACACGAACAAGGCCACCCGCCCCTGAACCCAATCACAGAGCTTCTCCTGGGACTCCCGGGAAAGACAGGATCCTAGAGGGGTGGCAGGCAGCAGAGTGTCCCGAGGCGCGCTCAGGCACATAGCTGGGCCACCGTGGATAGACTACACGGCCACGAACGCTCTGCGGCCTTCAGCTGAGGGTGGCGGCGGAGCACCCGCTGCGGCCCGGAAATGGCAGCCCTACGGTGTTCCACCGCGTGTTCCCGGAAGCGCCGCGCCAGCTGACTCAGCGATACCAAATTCGGGCGCACCGATGGCTGAGGGAGAACGCTGCGCCCGCCCGTGTACCGGACCAGCGCGCGCACGCCCGTAGGCACCGCCCCGCTGTCCTGTCTCCCTGTGATTGGCGGTTAGACTACAGGGGAGCAGAGTCAGGGACGCTACTGGCTCCAATCTACAGTCATCAACGAGCCAGGGAAGGGAGGGGCCTCCTAAGGGAGGGACACGACTGCAGGCTTTTTCAAGGCCCGCCAGGCGCCATCTTTAACTTGGTTTTTTTGTTTTTTTCCCTCGCTTTTGTTTCTCTGCTGCTTACAAAGCCTCGTGTACAAGATTATAAATACAGTGGCCACAAAGAGGTTTTTTTTTTATTGTTGTTGTTTTTCCACAAATCGGTTTCACACTTTTGGTGGTGGAAGGCTTTTCGTTCCTGCCGGCCTTGGTTACAAATCTTTCAGATAGCACTAGCAAAGTCGCAGTTTCCCTTAACTTCAAAGAAGTTTTCATCTCTAGGGGCCTCGCGGATTCTCAAGCAAAATCAACTAAGTTTAGCTTAGCTTTGCTTTGGTAGGATGGCCACGTCAAGATATATTCGTGAGAGGAATTCTCTTTTCTACAAAGAAAGATACTCAAAGCAAGGACATTGGATGTGAGCCTACGGTCTTAGGAAAAATCAAATAGCTTAGGAAGTCAGGGGCTTGGGCTGTGTTCCACTCTAGGAAGAGCTCTCCCTTTTCTGGGAAGATAAAAAGTGAGGCAGAAAGTGTATGTGATGAGCTGCAGTGCTGTGGAAAATAATTAGAAAGGGTAATAAAACGCCATTATAAATTTACAGCACTGCCACCATCACAAAAGTCACTTAAATCTGACTAGATTTCAAAGTTTTGCACGTCTAAACTTGTAGAATGATCCACATTTGAAATAGTGTTTATTAAGCACTGATCTGACTTGCATTGTTAGGGAATAAAAATACACTCAGTCGAGTTAAGAAACGTAGAGCACCCACACAGGGCCGCTTTCATTACAATGAATGTCAAGATCTGTACAAATAATTTTATCGCCGTAGTTGTTTAGATGTCTCAAATATTGCTTGAAACTAGGACACTAGGTGAAGAATGGGAAATGTATTATCATCATACACATTGTGGTAGTGAAATCTGAACTCTACAGTAGATCCTTTTTTATCTCCTGCTTGCTACTGCACTTGCAACATTCCAGTTTCTCCCTCATCACCCCATATACTCCGAAGTTTTCACTCCAACCTGCAAACAGTTGAATATAAATATTTTCCGTATGACTCCTAATAAAAGACAGTGGTTCTGTAACAGAATGAAGTGAGAATATCGCTCATAAAACTGGAGATTCGGCTATAAGCTCGTCCTCAAATTCATATATTTTTCCTCTCTAACTTGGACATAAGCAGGCTTTTAATTCCAAAAATAACATGATAAAAAAGCATTTCTTATCCCTCCTATTATTTATTTGCCTTCGCCTCCTCTGACCCCTCCCTCTCACCACTGACCACCATGAACAGTTTTTGAGATTGGCCTCAACTGGATTATTTTCCTGATACTTTGCCAGCTGCGGAACTTTTCAAACAAATCCCAACCTATAAACGACAATTTTGTCAAAAAGCCAAAAGAGAACTTCCTTTTTTGAACACATCAACCAAACCACACATAAAGGCCAAAATATACACAGCTGTACATTTAAGAACAGGAGACAATAATAAGCAAAACCACTTGGTCGAAACAGTCACTAAAAAAGGCTTTGAACCACACATCCAATAAATTGCCTACCCTCATTTGCCACATGGACTGTATATGCCCTGCCAATTATTTAATTATTTACCCATCTGATCCTAATAGTAAATGCACACAGAATGAAAGTGCCTGAGTATGCTAAATGTAGGAATTCTCCTAAACTCGAATTTGCACATAACCCTGTTTTGATCACACACTTGGGAACACAACAGAAAAAACAATTCACACCCCAGGCGCTACTTTGCACACCTAAAACCAAAGGCAATCACTTTTGAAAACAAAATCTAATATGGCACGTATACACACATACTGTACATATACACAAAGCACAAAACCCCAAGGTAAACCTTTACGATATTATTTGCTTCATGAAACACACACACGTAGTCCTGAAAATGCGTGTAAGACACACTGTAAAAAGGGCTTTGACCCACTCCTCAGGGAAATGTCACAATTATAATAGCCAAACATTTTTAACCTCTTGGTCTTGGACAATTGCCATGTTAAAGCCACTTGGTTTTGGTTCTGCGTGTGTAAAACGCAAGCAAACAGCTTTGTGAGGGAGTCTTAAATCTCCGCTTTCTTCGACGTTGCCAGAGGCAAAATTTACATTATCCCTTCAGCCCGCTTAAAAAACGAAATCTATACTTCCCAAGCGGCTAATTTTTTTAAATCCCTCGACCATAAAAATTTACCAGTTCTTAAAATGTGATAGCAAAAAGAAAAAAAAATTCTCTATAAATTCGTCTGGAAACAGTTGTACACGAACATCCTGCTTCTCAACTTCTTGGTATATTTAAAACCTTGACCAGGAAAAAGAAAGAGTAAGAGAGACAGAAAAAGAAACGGGGGAAAGCGCAAAATTCCCCTTACCAAGTTTCCTCACCCCAACACTGCCACAGATCTCTATTTTTAAAAATTTTGAATACACACACAAGATTAAAGATGGGGAAAAATGGAAAAAGGATACCCGAAGGTCGTATGGCTCTTTGTATTCGTGTGTGTGCAAAAAGGAGGACGCGCGGAGCCCGAGCCGGCAAACCCCGCCCATCCCCGGACGCCCGCCCGGATTGGCCACTGGCGGCGGCGGGGCGCCCCGCCCGTGAGCACACGCGCGGCGCGGAGGCACGGGCCCCTTGGGCCCCCCGGCCCCCGACCCTCGACCCTTGACCCTGACCCCTTTCCGCCGGGACCCTGGCGGTGCAGCTCTCACGAATCCACTTCACCGTTCTCACCTTCCTTGCGTTTTCTCACCCTCTTCTCACCCTTACCCATCATTCTTTCTCAGTGTAAATAGGTCCTCGTACTACTCTAAAAAACAAGCCTTGTGAAAATTTGCTAAAGTTAGTTAACTAGTCAGTAAAATTCTAGACTGGGATTAAGCCGCAAGGACTTCGTCCGTGGTGCCAAGCTTATGAATTACAGGTGAAATGTCTCTGAGTAACGTCTGTTGCTTAACACTCTCATCTTTAAAGAAATATTCATACGATTATGTGACATCCTTCAGGTGAAAGTAGTCTTACACTTCTGGTGGTGTTTTTGCTCATCTTGAGTCCTCAGTTTTTCTCTGTTTGACTAAGACTACATTCTCAAGAACCTAAAATGACTTCTCTTGACCTCCTGCATAAAGACCTGGTTGCTTATACCTGGATTTTTTATTTTATTTTAAAAACTTTAATTTATTTTTTATTGTTTATGCTATTACAGTTGTCCCCACTTTTCTCCCATTTTCCCACTTCCACTCAGCCCCCCCCCCCCCCCCCCCCCCCCCAGAACACATCACCACACCGTTGTCCCTGACCAAGGGTCATGCATCTATGTTCTTTGGCTAATCCCTTCACCTTCTTCCTTCCAGCCTCCCTCTCTCCAGTTACCTCTAATAGCTGTCAATCTTCCATGTATCTATGCTTCTGTTTCTATTTTGTTCATTAGATTCCTCATATAAGTGAGATGGTATGGTACTTATCTTTCACAGATTGGCTTATTTCATTTAGCAGAATACCCTTCAGGTCCATCCATGATGTCACAAAGCATAAGAGTTCCTTCTTTTTTATTGCCAGGTAGTATTCCATTATGTAAATGTACCACAGCTTTTTTATCCACTCATATTGATGGGCACTGGTGCTGTTTCCAGATCTTCGCTATTGTAAATAGTATTGCTGTTAACAAAGGGGTGCATATATTCTTTTGAATTAGTGTTTTGGGATTCTTAGGGTATATTCCCAGAAGTGGGAAGTACCTGGATTTTAAGCTCCCCATAACCTGGTCCCATTCCCATTTGCTCTTGTTCCCACTGCCCTCACCTTTTCACCCCTTATTATTCCTTTGCTCAAGTGCTCTCCTCTTCTCTGACTAGTCAATTTTTATCCATTCTTCAGCTATTTCAGTCAACACAGACCACTTGCTTCTGTTCTCCTATCAGTGTGAATTTCATGCTTACTCAGGGTAGCAGCATTTTACCTTCTTCATTACCTACATATTTTAGTAATTTCATACTAGTAAGCTGTCTGAGATCAAAAATCATATCTTACACTTCTTTTTCCATTCAGAATCTGGGTTGGTTTTTTTTTTTTTTCCATTCTTACTGCATCAGCTGCCATAACTGTAGACATTTAGTAAATACTAAAAAAATCATTTATAATTAAATACCTTAATTTTTTTTCTAGCTAAGACACAAATTTGGAAATTCAATCCCATGACTAGAATTTGCCTTCTATGCCCTGGCTGGTGTGGCTCAGTGGATTGAGTGTCCACCTGTGACCAAAGGGTCGCCTGTTAGATTCCCAGTCAGGGCACATGCCTGGGTTGCAGGCCAGGTCCCCAGTAGGGGGTGTGCGAGAGGCGGCCACATGGTAATGTTTCCCTTTCTCCCTCCTCTCCCCTCTCTAAAAATAAATAAATAAAATATTTTAAAAAAAGAAAAAGAATTCGCCTTCTAGTCCTGGCTGGGTAGCTCAGTTGGTTAGAGTGTCCTTATGATACCCCAAGATTGTGGGTTTCATCTTTGGTCAGAGCACATACAAGAATCAACCAATGAATGCATAAATAAGTAGAACCACAAATTGATGTTTCTCTCCCTCTCTCCTCCTCCCTCCCTCTTCTTTCCTCTCTCTCTCTCTCTCTCTCTCTGTCTCTCTCTCTCTCTCTCAAATAAATAAATAAATAATAGCAGTAAATCTATAGTAACAGTTGATGGCACTTACTGCAGAGGGACTATTGTGAACATTTTACATACATTTACTTATTTAATCTCCACAGTAGTGGGTAGGTACAATTACCCCCATTTTATAGATGAGACTGAAGTACAGAGAGGCATTATAATTATACTAAAGTTATATAGCTAATATGAAAGAGACCTGGGATATGAACTGAGAGCAATAGAGCTCCATAGCCTAAGTTCTTAACCACTATACCTCACTGGCTCAAGAGCACAGCTCTTAAAAATATTGTTACCTGATTTCATCCTCACAACACTCTACAAGATAGATGGCCTGAACACTTCCAAAATATCGATCTGAGGAAGCTACACACAAAGGTGATCTTCCAAATTAAAGGACAATAAAAATACATAACTAAATGCAAAATATGATCCTTGATTGAATCCGGGTCAGGAAAAAAGACTAGAATGGACATTACTGGGATAATTGGGCAAAAATAGTATGATAAATGAAATATGAAATTAGATAATCTGACTGTATTAGTGTTAAACAGGAAAATTATTGGCATCCCCATTTACAAGAGAAAATCAGAGAAAAGTTTACTGCAAGTTCTCATTGCTAACAGGTAGCAGACATGAGACCCCAAACCAGCTGTCTTATTCAGCCCCCACATTTCAGCACTGGTGGTTAGTCAGTCCCTCTCCATGCACTTGGTTTTCAGAGCCCAGCATGTTCTTGATAGGATCTGGTTCTCAGCAGAAAGACCCATTGCCTTTAGTGTGGTTTTCGTCCTAGGAGCACCCTAGCTTATGCTGCAGGCAACCTTGGCAACAGCTTTCCCTGTTACATGAAAATGAAGTGGCACTGCTTCCTTTCCTATATTTTCCATTAATTTTAAAAAATAATACAAGTCAGCAAGGAAATCACTCAGAAAACATTAGCTTTTAATAGGAATATACTAGGACAGCTCATATCCTCAAGTGTACAAGTGGTTATTTTCATAAATGTTAGGATGAAGGATAAACAGAACTGTTAAAAAACAATTATTATAATCAACATTTATTGAGGATTTACTTGATGCCAGGCACTATATTTAATCAATTCTATGAGACAAGTACTATAATACTGCCTCTTTTATTGATGAGAAAACTGCGAGTCAGAGAGGGAAGGTGACTTACCTCAAGGTGATTGAATTCATTAAATTGTGAAGTCAGAACTTAAATCCAGGTCCACTGACTCCAGAACCTGTGCTCTCGAGCATTCAGTAGTCTCTGCCTACACTAAAATCCACCCTGTTTTGCTGTCTTATCCTCTTTTGTTCTCTTGTTCTGAGTCCATGTAAGTTAAGCTGTCTTTCCTCTGATGATCAATAGAGGGTTTGTAACCCCCCCATGACGTCTCCTGAGATATATTTTTAATTATGAGTCCATTTCTACAAAAGTCAGAGTTACGTTGGAAAAGCCATTTCTTTTTAAGTTTCTTTTATTTACCCCTATGGTCATTGGGGAATCTTTGGTAAAAAGTTTGAGTAAAGTATTTTTGTGCTATTGGATAATGAGAATAAGGAAAAAACAGGCCTTTTTCACCTAAAAATTACAATTTTGAACACTAAATCATTTGAGATTTCAAATGTTAAGTTTTACATGACTTGTTGATTAAGGAAAATCTGCTTATTTGGCTTTGAATCAAGCAGATCTCTTTATTTTAAGCTGTTTCTGTTCAGTGAGATCCCAAAGGGACTTCCCTATACAGTGAAATCTAATTTTCCCTGGAGTGAAGCTGGGAAGCTGTTCCTGACAATCATTCATTAATGCACCCTAGAGTATTTTAGAATACTCTAAATTAGTAGTGGAAGGAAATCCCAGAGCCTGTTGGAATATGTCCTCAGAGACATTGGAGAGGGAAAAGTGTCTGAGCGAGCCGAGATTTGGCAAGATGAAAGAGGTTATATGTTGTACACCTGAAACCAATACAAAAAAAAAAAAATAAAATATTAAATGTAAACTGTAATTAAAAATAAAAAATATTAAAATACTTGAAGGAAACTTTTTTAAAAAGAAAAAAGAATTAGCCCTGGTAAGTGTGGGTCAGTGGATTGAGTGCCTGGCATGTGAACCAAAAGGTCACAGATTAAAGTCCCAGTCAGGGAACATGCCTGGGTTGTGGACTAGGTTCCCCAGTTGGGGGTGTGCGAGAGGCAACCAATCAAAGTAATCTCTTGCACATTGATGCTTCTCTCCCTTTCTCCCTCCTTTCCCTTCTCTCTGAAAAGTAAATAAATAAAATATTTTTTAAAAAAGAAAAAAGAATGAGGTTACAGAAAGATGAAAGATAATGCAAAGGAAAAAAATAAGGACAGCAGACATCCCAGAACAGCACTCAAGAATAGTAAAGAAGGTTTATGTTGTAGCAGGAATGAGGGCAGATTAGATTTTAAAGGAAAGAAGTTCTGAATTTGACTGAACTTTTTGCAAAAGAAATTATATAAACAGCTGGGAAGTTCTTCTTTGAAGACCAGTAAAATAAAATTAATACAAAACAATTAAAACACAATAAAATAAAAAAATTAAAGATAGATAAATGCAAAAACAGTAGAGGAGGGCTATGGATATTCGTTGTACTATTTTTCAACTTTTCTGAAATTTTGAAACATTTTAAAATTAAAATATAAGTGAATAACATTTCTGTTTAGATATTCAGATTTGGCCCTTTCTTTTTTTAAACAATTTTATTTATTTTTAGAGAGAGGGGAAGGGAGGGAGAAAGAAAGGGAGAGAAACACTAATGCAAGAGAGAAACATAGACGGGTTGCCTTTTGCACATGCCCTGTCTTGGGACAGAACCTGCAAGCCAAGCATGTGCCCTGACTGCG